GCAATCCTGCTTCCTTTTCCTGGATTCCCCCTTTCTCTTTATTGGCTGTAGCTGGGTATTGCAAAAAAAAAAAAAGCAGAATAAATCATCCATTTTAGAAAAAAAATGAGTATCAAAATTTAAAAAAAATTATTTTTAAAAAATATGACATTATATATTAATTAAAAAAGAAAAAACATTGAAAATTATATAAAGCAAATAAGGCAGGCCATGCATTTTCAGATATAGATAGTCATAGAATTAGAACCTAATCATACCTAATGCTCTCATCTTAGTAAGGATTTCTATTGCTATGAGGAAACACCATGACCAAAACAACTTGGGGAGGAAAGAGTTTATTTGGCTTACACTTCCATATCACTGTTCCTCATTGAAGGAAGTCAGAACAGGAAGTCAAACAGGGCAGGAACCTAGATGCAGGAGCTGATGCAGAGTGGAGCCATGGAGGGCCGCTGCTTACTGGTTTACTCCTTATGGCTTGCTCAGCCTGCTTTCTTACAGAATCCAGGACCAACTGTCTAAGGATGGCATCCACTATGGGCTGGCCATATCAGTCACTAATTACAAAATCACCCTACAGGCCTGCCTAAAGCCAGATATTACTGAGGCATTGTATCAAGCTTTCTTGTCAGACTATCTTTGGATCACCAGCTGGCAAATAAGGACCCAGAGACTTGAAAGCTTGGCCTTAGCTTAGGACTTTTCCCAATTAGCTCTTATAACTTAATTAACCCATTTTGGTGGGGTTTTTGTTTGTTTGTTTGGTTTTGGTTTTTTTCCGAGACAAGGTTTCTCTGTGTAAGCTTTGGCACCTTTTCCTGGAACTTACTCTTTAGCCCAGGCTGGCCTCGAACTCATAGAGATCCGCCTGCCTCTGCCTCTCTCTTGCTGGGATTAAAGGCCTGTGCCACCACCGCCCGGCAACCCATATTTTTTAAATCTATGTCCTGCCACGTGGCTTAGTTACCTCTTCTTAGTCTAGCACATCTGACTTGCTCTGAGTCTGCTGGTGGAATTCCACACATAGATTCTTTCTCCTTTCCTTCTCTGTCCCCAGAAATCCCGCCTGTCCTCTCCTGCCTAGCTATTGGACATTCAGCTCCTTAGTAAACCAACCACAGTGTACAAATATTCCACAACAAGGCATCTTCTCTATTGAAGCTTTCTCCTTTCAAGTGACTAGAGTTTATGTCAAGTTGACATAAAACTAGCCAGCACAGTCCCCTAGAACTGTTTCATCTCAAGAAGTGTATGCACAGACCTGGACGGAGCCTCTTCTGACCACTGACGTCTCCCCTCCCCAAACATCACTGTTGAGGAAATACCAGTATCCTTACAAAGTAGCTGAGATTATCTACTAGGAGGTCCTCAAGGACTTTCTCCTGACAGCTATAATATGACACTATTGTGTATATATATAGATCCTGCATGCACAGGACACCACAAATGTGACTAACGTTTGCTGGCATGCACATGGCGCTATGGTACTGTGGACTACAATCATTGGCATCCCAAGAACTTCACGGATAGCACATTCCTGTGACTTCTCTCCTTAAAAAAAAAATATTATGTGACTTGTAAAACTACCTTTTGAGGCATATCCTACCAAATCAGCTGTCATTTATCATTCCCTTCATTTCACAATATGAAACCTCCAAAGTTGAGTTGATTTCACAAATCTTGAAAAATTCTAGCATTTTCATCAGAATAACTCACTTCTAAAAAAAATTACGTCCTCAATATACTTTACTTCTTTTATTTATTTGAGATTTGGGCACTACTGTGAGAGTTTTGCTGGACACAGGACAATGGGAAAGCCTGGTTTGGGCAGCCTGGAGAACACCAGTCAATGGGGGAGGGGCAGGGGCAGCATAATGAGCTGGCCATAGGACAGTCTGATGAAATCGTACCAGATGAAAAGCCAGAGAATGTGGGTATAATCCTTATTTCAGATGGGAAGATTGGAAATCAGAAAACTTGGGTTGATCTACGTTAAAAAACAACAACAAACCCCTAAGAAACCCAACACACAGCAATAGAGTATGGTAGCTGGGTCATCTGCTCCTACCATTCAACTCTCCCCATAAGAAGACCTGCTGTGTTGCTCAGCCTAGCTGGCAGCCTTGAACAAGGGGATTTTATGGTCACGCAACAGTTTGTAGTCTGTTTACAGAGGGCATGCTCTGGCCTCCACACTTCCTAAGAGCCCAGGAGGGGAGAGGTCTAAAAGAACATCAAACCTGCCCAAGGAAGAAGAACAGGACAGGCAGACTTCCTGCAGAGGAAATCCTGAGAGGACTGTTACTGGGGACTATGGAGGTCCAGCCCCTCGATAGTCCCCTCCCAGGGTCCGGAAAGAATCTACAACCAGCTGATAATTAGCCTTTGATGAGAAGAAATGAATCTATGTACATGAAATTCCTTAGTCTATACATTTTATTATTCTGTCAGTTTTCTCTCTTATACTCTGCTCTCATTTTTAGCTCCTTTCTTGCCCAATTTCTCTTTACATTTATCTGTTGTCCCCTCCAGGTTCTATCTTAATTCCTTCATCTTAGTTCTGCCCCTTCTAGGTTCTCATTCATCTAGTTTTTTCCCATATCAGCTCCTCTCCCATCTCCTTCTCTTTCATCTTGTTCTTCCTCATCTTGTTCTTCCCCATCTGGCTCTTCCTCATCTTCTATCTCGTTCTTCTAGTATTCTCTTCTAGCCCTTCAATCTAGTTCTTCCCCATTTCAGTTTGTTCCTCTCAAGTTCTTACCCATCTAGTCCTTCCATTCTCTTTTCTCTTCTCCATCCTCCTGTGCCCTGAAAGTCCTGGTGTATATACATTTACAAGCAGTAATCCCTGGGCAGTGCAAAGCCAGGCTTCCGGGGTCAAATGGAGGGGTGATAAGAATCACATAGAGGGGCAAAAACCATTAATTATCATTTGCAACCCCAAAGGGAAGTGACCAATGGGGAAATGAATTAACTAAAGGCTAAATTCGGGTAATAGCTAAGAAGAGGGATTTTATGTGCTCAACTATAGTCTTAAACGTGATTAGTAAAAAATGTTAAGAATCTATAAGTTGCTAGGTCAATGGGAGAAAATAAAACTGTCTTCTTTTTTCCTGTGGCTCCTATCTGTCCAACTGTCTGCCGTTTTTCTGCAGGGTGGGGGAAAGTGTACTCGGTCACTAGGCAACCTGTGTACAGGTAGATGCCTCTGGTGATAATTAAAGGGAGATCTGGAACTAGAGGTAAGATTTGGAAAAGGAGGAAGTTAAGCTTAATTGGCACATCCGCCAGACCTTCTCAAACGGATAGTCTGGACACTTAAGTCTGTCCTTAGAGAGTACAGAGGTATCTCTGATAAGGTACTTTCCTCCTTCTGGAGATGGACCTGGCCGGATGCTGCCAATGATGATAATTACAGGGAGGCTTGAACTGGGGTTCTGGCTGTGTGCTGTCAGCACACAAGGTTATCTAAATATTCCTTTAGTAGAGGGGAAATAGTGCCCAATAAATGATGTAAGAGCTACAATAGCGCACAAGAAACTCATAGCAGGAAACGGCTGATAATCAAAAGCCAAATATCGCCAAGGCTCCTTGAACCTTAGCTTGACCTCTGGAAGGCCCTTGGCTACTTCTAGGTATTAGCTTTGTCATAATCAGCTGAAATCCTACTTTGTATGTTTTTGCGGCTTGCAGCAGACTGTCCCAGAAGAGTCAGAATGTCCTTACAAGCTAGAAACCAAGTCTTTATAGATACCAAGCCACAGAAATAATGTCAGCGTCCTCAGATAACGCTTGAAATCACATTCACTCCCTTGTTCATTAAGTGGCGTCAAACAAGTTAGTTAACCTTTTGGGGCCTTGATTTCCTTACCTTTTAAATCAAAGGTAACAAAAATGTATGTTTGTCGTGATAAAAACCCTGATCAAAAGCAAGCTGGGGGAAGAAAGCGTTTATCTGGTTTACACTTCCTGATCACAGTCCCTTATTGGGGGAAGTCAAAGCAGGAACTCAAGATAAGAACTGGAGGCAGTTTTAGTATATGTGCTGCCCAAGCAAGCAGTGAGGGGCATGCCTTTAATCCCAGCACTCGGGAGGCAGAGGCAGGCGAATCTCTGTGAGTTCAAGGCCAGCCTGGTCTACCGAGCGAGATCCAGGACACGCACCAAAGCTACACGGAGAAACCCTGTCTCGGAAAAAAAAAAAAAAGAACTGGAGGCAGGACCAGAGACGGTGGAGAAGTGCAGCTTACTGGCTTGCTCCTCATGGTTTGCTGAGCCTGTTTTCTTAGAGAACTCAGCACCATCTGCTCAGGGTCGGCACTGCAATCATAGAACAAGGAAATGCCCCCACAGACATGCCCACAGGCCAATCTGATGGAGGCAGTTCCTTAGCTGAGGCTCCCTCTTCCCAGTGACTAGCCTGTGCCCAGTTAACATTAAAACCAACCATCACAGAGAACTTCACTCATTCCATGGGCTTGGAAGAGTACCCGGCATCTCTTACAGTATTGTAGCTGTTATTGACCAGTTACAGAACATACATTTATTTTCTGAAACATTTCAGGTATTTTATTTTTATGGGATATGTGTGTGTGTGTGTGTGTGTGTGTGTGTGTGTGTGTGTGTGTGTGTGTGTGTGTGTGTGTGTGTGTGTTTTTGCAGGGAGTCAATGACATTTTAGGAATTAGGCTGCAGTGAAGTTAGATGACTTGCACAACGTCTTAAGAAATTGCTTTTTCCTAACGTGCATTTTCTTTACAGAGAGAACTTCCCTGAACATTGTCCCCGCCTATCTCTGCTCTTTAATTCGCTTTTCCTGGAGAGGATCAGTGATGATGTATCAAGGAGCCCCCCTGATGTCATGACCATACAAGGCTCCAAGACCCAGACCCCTCAAACCCCGCCGCGCCCACCTCTCGCGAGACCAGTGGTCTGCGCTAGCGGGACCGGAGGCTCCCGGAAGTGGGCGGGGAGGCAGGGCCACGCCCCCCTGAGCGAGTCGGCGGCCGAGCCGAGTCGGAGCGTCCTCGGGCCGCGCGGGGCGGAGTCTCGGGCGGCCCGGGCCTGTCTCCGTCACCTGGCCTGGGTCCGAGTGTCCCTCCCCGTGCCCTTGAGGGCGCCCTGCCCTCCCCGGGCTGCCGCTCGGCCCGGCGTTCCCGCTGTGGCCGGCTCCCGCTCCCGCCGCCGCACGTCTGTCCCGCTCGTAAGTGCCTGGAATGCGTCCGGCTCTGGACGCGCATTCTTTCTATCTATAGCCGCTCTGTACATCGAATGCCGCCCCAGCTATTCCCGGGACAGCAACTGCTTCCTTCTCTAATCACCTCCTCATTGGTGGCTTCAGACCCGAATTTGGGAACGGGGTGCTCTTCCACCTGTTCCCTGAGCAGCCTGATCTCCTGGAGGCTGCAGGGCCATTTGGAGATTTCAGGGCCCCTTGGCTCCGGACGGAGGTTTTGCCCCTGAACTCCAGGCTTCCCTATATGCGTTGTTTTTCTCTGAGAAGTCTTTAGCTTTTTGGTCTGTTCTGTTTTGACTGTAAGAATCTATATTTTTGCTTCTGGCTTTACTATTCTGCTCCGAGAGAGAAGAAACTCTTCTCCCTTGTTGGATTTTACCGACTAGGTTTCATTTCTTTCTCATTGCTCTTCTAGGCTTTAAGTCTATCTAGAACATGTAAGTGCCGCTGTCAACTCTAGAGAGTTTTAGCTCGTATTTTCTTTTTCCTAATTACCTATTATTTTATAGGGCTAACTTATTCCGCTTTGGATTCCTTTTAATTCTACGGAAAGAGTTCAAATCCTCCGGCAGCCAAAATGGAACACAGTAGACAGATTCGAATTTTACTACTGAACGACATGGAAAAGCTAGAGAAGACCCTCTACAGACTTGAACAAGGTCGGTCACAAGTCGTTTGATTAGCACTTTTGTATCTTTTAATGCATTCACAGTCTATTAAAACGTTTTAACTTAAAATTAGGGACTGGGGGTGTTGGGTATAACTCAGTGGTAGAATGCATTTATGCATGCTTAGCATAAATGAGGCTGAGATTAAATCCTCTGCATGTACACACACACACACACACACACACACACACACACACACACACACACACTCTTAAAGTTAGATGAAATTTCCTGGATTTGGCTTGCTTTGTGCCAAGATACTGTGTTTCACATTAGTGGCAACTAATGTTGTTTAAAAATATATGTGTCATGTTAGAACAATGATAGCTCAGTTCCTTTTGTTGCCAACTACCACCTAATGCAGAAACTACAGGGCACAGACAGTCACTCAGGGATAGAACCTTTGCCTAGTCTTCAAGAACTGGATTCAGTCCCGGGAGAGAAAGAAGTGATAGAAACAACATATGCAATTAAAAGATTGAACATGCTATTTATAATGGCATTTATTGTTATAACTTGTTAAATCATATATAGTTTAGGTTTGCATATAATCTGTAGTGTTGCTTTTTAGAGCGAATGCTTTTCCTTTATTGAACTTAATTAAGCATTGGTGAAACAGGGTACAGTATAGTACTATGTAGTATAATAGGTAAGTATAGTATAGCAGCTACTGCTTACATTATCAGAAGTCTCTTAAGCAAGTAGAAGATAAAGCCAAATAAAAAGTGGGAAATCTGATCAGGTGATGTTGAAACATGTTTGAGCTATCGTTTAAAGAACTATATTGAGCTAGGGATATAGCTCAGTGGTAAAGTGCTTGCCTAATACAAACAAGATCTTTGGGTTTGAACCCCAGCATGACCAAAAGATATAAATAAAAGTAAGATCAAAGATTAAATTGCAGTTCTATAAGACAAGCTAACAGATAACTTTACTTTCAGTACTGAAAACATTCCACTTATACTTTATAAATATAACTTGTAAAATACAAGTAGAAAGTTTTTAATGTATCAAGACAAAAAAAATCAGCTCTCCAGGGGATGTATTAAATGAACATTGATAAGCATCTGGGAGAATTTTCTTCTTAATTTTTAAAAGTTAGATTTTTGAAAACTTCAACCATCTACTGTGTTCCCTTGATGCTGAATGGCCTCCTTCTTCCAAATATGTTTAGGGTTTTGGATCACCGAGTCCTGGCTTCAACTGACTCTGCACTTTTCCTGGTTTTGGCTTGTCCCCCTCCGCTGTCTTCAGCCCTTCCCATCAGCTTGGTGTCTCTCATCAGGCTCTCTTCCTTCCGCATTTCAATCAGTTGCAGTGTCTGCTGGGTTTCCCTCCTTTTCTGTGCTTCCGCCAGCCAATAGTGGTGCATTCTCACGGCTCATCTCTTGCCTCTCTGCCGAGGACTCTCTTTGAAACACAGGCCTCGAGAGTCCCTTTCTTCTTGGAAGCTTTTGAATCACGTATCATGACAAGAGTTGAGAAGCAAACCTGCCTTTGCTCAGCTGCTAACAAACCGATGTTAGGCAAATTATTAATGTTAAGCATTAATATCCTTGTAGAGATATGTTGCTCTCCTATGGCATTCAATTTTAAGACTGGAAATTAGCAACATGTAATTTTGTAGTGATAGAGCCCTAAGTAGCAGGAAGGTATTTCTGCATAGCAGTCCACTCCCTGGAGTTTAGCTTTGCTCTGACACTGTTCTGTAGACTAGTCATGGGGTAGTTCTGTTAGTTTATACTTTCCTTTAACATGTTCTAAATCACCCCTTGACCAAATCTCAGTGATGCCTCTGTCTTCCTGTTTTCCCAGGCTAGATTCTTAAGCATTCTTGATGATGTGTCCTCTTAAATTGTCAATCTCTCTTTAAAGTCTGTACTTCCTTTCTGACATCTCTCCTTGTGTGTCTCTTCCATCTAACCAAGTGAGGGAGAGCCCAAGTCATCTCTTACTCAGTCTCTTCCCTTTTGATTTATGGGTACCTCATTCTTAAATCCCCACCCAGCTTCCAAGGCATCCTGAATGGCTGCACTTTCTCTTGCCAAAATTGAATCTCGCTGTGCCCCGCCTGTAGTGTCTGAATATTTATAGCTTTCCTGTTCTGTCCTGTTCATTCCATCTCTAGTGGCCTTTCTCATGCCCATGCTCACATCTCTACTCGTGTCAGATCCCTTGGAATTTGTTGTTCTTTTACGTCATTCTGTGTGTTCAACTTTCAGTTATAACGCTGCGTCTTAGTAAAGACCTCCTCTAGTTTTTTGATCACCATCAGCTGAGTGCTGACAGTGAAGCAGTGTCTGAAGCTCGGTGGTGGTATGGTACCCAACTAGACACGGAACATTGTCAGGTGGGACAGCCTTACAGACTTAGTGCTGCATGCAACATTTGCTGCATGCTTGCCAACGAATTCTTAAACCCCAGTGCAAAGTAGCCCAAACTGGAAATTCAGCTAAGCTGCTCAAAGAGACAAACTAAAGGGTCTGTTAAGACTAATGTGCTTCACTCTATAACACTAGATAAAGCCAGTAAATCTGTCCTTTTTTTTTGTAATAATTCTAAGATAATCTTATTTTAGAAGTCAATTTAGAGGGAACAAGAAATAAAAACAAAGATCCTTTAAAAAAGATCCTATCTACCCTATCTACATGCCGAGGCACAGGCAAGTAGACCTCTGTGAGTTCTAGGCTAGCTTGGGCTACATAGAGTTCCAGGCCAGCCAGAGCTACATAGTGAAATTCTGTCCCTCTCCTCCTTAAAGAATTGTAACTGGGCTGTGGAGATGGCTCAGTGGATAAAGTGCCTGCTGGACCATCCCAGGGAAGATCTCCAGCACTCACATACAAACTGAGTTTAGTGGCGTGCACCTGTAACCCCAGCACGGGGGGTGGGGGGTGGGGGGGGGGTGGGGGGGTGGGCTGTGACAGGTAGATCTAGGGGCTTGCTGGCCAGCCAGTCTGACCAATCAGTGAGCTCCATTTCAGTGAGAGACCCTTCTCAAAAAATAAGGTCGTTGTGACTTGAGAGACAGTGCAGCAGTTGAGGACACTTGCTGCTCTTGCACCCACATGGCGCCTCACAACCTCCTGGAACTCTAGTGCTCTTCCTGCTTCTGTGGGCACCACACACACACATGGTGCACATGCATATATGTGGGCACTCATACATATATGCATAAAATAAAAATCATCTTTAATTTTTTTAAGTCTTAAAAAAATAAGTCAGATGCCTGCACACACGTTACACATAAAAAATAAAGAAAGCAAATGACCAGACACACCAGATTAACGATAAGAACTTTATGATATCAGAGTTGGAAAGGGAGACAGAATAAGAAAAACTTAAACCCATAGAAGTTGCTGACAAATGTAAAGGAAAAAAAAAACTGGTGATATTTGGTTTTTCATATTTGACTGGTCCCCAAAGCCTTCTCTGTCTTTTATTTTCTCATCCTAAGAACCAATTTTCAACACTGACATCTGTATAGTTTCTTCACATTCAAGTAAAAGTCCAAGTAATTATCTGTTTTAATTAAATTATAGTCTTTTCTATTTTCCTTGTCTCGTTGTGTGTCAGAAAATGAACAAGATTAGTATTCCTTAAACCTGAAATTAACTCTTCCATGTTTTATATAGGTTGACCAGATTTACAATTTTTATGTTTATTTATTTATCATTATTACTCTGCGTGCTCATGTGTGTGTGTGTGGGTGTGGGTATGTGACATGTATATGTGACTGCAGGGATACTCATGCTACTGAAAATGTGGAGGTCAGAGGACAACAGTTTGGGGGAATAGCTTCTCACCTCCACATGAGGGAACTCAGGTTTGTCATCTTGGGTGTCAAGCACTCTTACTGAGCCAACCTGTGAGCCCAACTGTTATTTTGTTGGTTTTTAATAAAATGTTCAGGTAGGCATGGTGGCGCACACCTTTAATCCCAGCACTGGGGAGGCAGAGCCAGGTGGATCTCTGAGTTCGAGGTCAGTGGGTCTATAGAGTTAAGTTCCAGGACAGCCGGGGCTACACAGAGAAACCATGTTTCAGAAAATAAAATAAATAAATAAATAAATAAATAAACAATGTTCATTTACAAGGGTTTCCTTTTTTTAAAAAAAAAAAAAAAAACTTATTTATTACTTATTTGATGTTTATGTTTGCTTGCCGGCATGAGTCTATGTGCACCATGTGTATTCAGTGACCTCGGAGGCCAGAAGGTATTGGATCTCCTAGAACTGGAATTAGAGGCAGTTGTGAGCTGCTTGATACGGGTGCTAGAAACCGAATCTAGATCCTCTGCAACAGCAATAGATGCTTTTACCTGCTGAGTCACTTCTCCAGTCCCCAAGGTTTTCTTGATTGAAGCCATCAGCCCAGCCCCTAATGGGGAATTTTTGTTTACAGTAGTAATTTAATCGCTTGTCTTCCTACTTAGCTGCTTACAGGAGGGCTGTGGCTGATCCAAGCAAAGTGTTCTTAGTGTTAACATGAACAAGATAGCCACACCATGTACTGTTGTGACCTAAACTAATTTTAGCAGAGGTATTTCACGTACTGTCGCGAACCTGTTCAGTTTTAGTGACTTGACTTAAGTTCAGTTTAGAGTGGCTTTGTGCTTTGGGGATATTTACTAATCCTCTACTGGGATAAAGAAAGAAAATCTTTGGGGAGTAGTTCAGTTTGCTAACATATGAATTGGCAATGATGCTCTCTATTCATCAGATGAATTAAAAACAAAAAGACATCCTTGGAAAAGGTATAGGCTCTCAGTCCATTGAGCTGTGCCCTGAATTGCACCTTTATCTGAACTAGGTGGACAAGTTATATTGTCTTAAATCATACAGATGTGGCTTTGTGGTAGAGCGCTTATGTAGCATACATGAGACCCTAGACACCATACTTAACCCCATAAAAAAGTAGATTAAAATTTAAAAATTAGAAATTTCTCTTTCCAAAATTTCATAACAAGAGGAAAAATGACCATGGGCAAC